AAAAAGAAGCAGGAATTAAAAGGAAGAGAAGCAGGAATTAAAGGCACCTTGGTGGCTCAGTCATTTAAGCGTCTGTCTCTTGATTTCGGCTCAGGTCATGAACACATGGTTTGTGAGTTCTAGCTTTGTGTCGGTCTCCACGCTGATAGCGGGGAGCCTGCCTGGGATTCTCTTTCTCCCTCTCTCTCTGTCCCTCCCCTGCTCATACACGCTCTCTCAAAATAAATAAACTTTAAAAAAAGGAGGCTTAACAAAAGAGTATAATGCTACAAACTGCTTATTTTTGAATGGAGAAGATGAACTCTTCAACTTCTTTCTAGTGCCTGATTTCAGTTAAATTTCAGCTTAGGTGGGAAGCAGATGCAGAACAAAATCCTCTCATAACCTTCATGTGTTCCTGCTGCAATTCTCACATTACTACAATGGCTGGGTTGTTTCTAATTTAGACCACAAACTACAGGCACGTAGGAGCCTGGTAGAAAATAGTCATTATTCTATTATTCGTACCTGGGACAGTGCCTGGCATATAAAAGGTGCACAGTGAATACATAAGCAAAATGAAGAAGTGCTTAAGTAAGCAGTTATTTAGCTAATTAAAAAGCTTTGTCATTTGTAAATCAGCTTAAGATTTATGCTAAAGTATGAGCAGCTCTGAAGAATGGAGATATTATAGGTAAACTCGCATAATGATCCCTACAACAAACAGCAGGTTGAAGGTGGTCAGTATATCAGGTAACGTACAAGAAGTTCTTCAACTTCTATTTATCATTCTATTTATGTTTTTAAAAAATGAAACTTATTCGCACTAATATTTTAATAAAGGGTTGTTATCCCCCACCACCACTAAAATTATTATATTCATGTATGTTCCTGGGCATTAGAAATCAGTTTTTTAGAAGAGTTTATTTCCTTAATTCCAATTTGATAGGCACGTCTACCATCTGACAGTGTCTTCTCTAACATACTGAGAGCAGGTAATTTTGAGTGGCAGGTCTCACAGCTTTCATCACAATAAATCTTTAATCAACGGAAATGACAGAAGAAATCCAGAAATCCATGTTTAGTGATTTGACATGTGGAAATTAGGGTACTTCAATTATTTCCAATGCTTTAAAAAGTTTCTTAAATTTTTCTAATGTTGTTGCTCATGTGTGTAGACCTTTTGACTTAACAGGAGCTAGTGTTTTGCAAATTTTATGTATATAAATAAAAGTTTAAGAAAATTGTAAACAAAACCAATGTAAGATATTCATTCATTCTTAGATATTTTAAATTTAATAGTATTTAAGAAAGCACTTTGAACTTAAAACAGGATCTAAATAATATTAAAAGACAAATATTTCTAGTCCAAAGACTAAAAATTACCTTTAAAAATTCTGAAAGTATAAAAAGCATGATGTGAGGTTTGACAGGCCTTGTATACTCAGAACTCAGGCCACACAGAATTTCTATGTTCTCTAAGTTACTTACAGCCATGTAATAAGTTAGTAACCTTTTTCCACCGTCACAAATATTGTATAATATAAAACAGCAACTACCAATTTGAATTTATCATAAAACCATTTATTTCAATGAAAAATACAGTGGTATATAGTTTTGAAAACATTATCATAGATTGTAGCAAAACCTTAAAATGGCATATATTTTATGTCATTTTAACTGCTCAGATGATTATAATATAAATAGATTAAAACCATATGACAAAAAAATGTGGCATTTATAATAAGTATTTATATATCTTCCATGAAAATAACTTTAACTTAAAATGCTACAAAGGCACAACACAAAATAATTCTTTTTTATAGTACTAAAAACAATTAGTAAGTTCATAAAAAAAAATTTCCATCTACTTAATGCAACTTATTTATTGTTAGATTTTTCCCTCAATTGTTAGCAAAGATGATATTTTTGGGCCACAAAAGAGTTAATAGAGTTCATCAGAGGCCAAGGAAGGAAGGTAAAATTGTACACCAAATAACTCTGAAAGGCAATTCTCTTCCCAGAGGACTATAACAATTGGGAGTCCTAACAAACATCTCCTTTTCTTCTCCAATTCAAATTTCCAATTACACAAAGCTTCCAGCATATAAGTACCATCTATATTCCCTCCTGGCTCCTTACCAACTCAACTATAGCCATTTGTGTGGAGAATAAGAGTATTTTTTTTGTTTGTTTGTTTTTTAGAAAACAATCATAAAAGGGGCAGCTGGGTGGCTCATCAGGTCATGATCTCACGGCTTATGGGTTCAAGCCTTATGTTGGGCTCTGTGCTGACAGTTTAGAGTCTAGAGCCTGCTTCAGATTCTGTGTCTCCCTTTCTCTCTGTCCCTCCTCCATTCTCTCTCTCAAAAAATAAATGTTAAAAAAAATGTTTTTAATTTGAAAAAAAACAATCAGAAAAGAATAGTTAAGATCTGAAATCAAAATACAGAGAGAAAAGAGGAGGAAACGAACAAAGAGAAACAAAATAAATGTAAGAGAAACAATAAACAGCAGGAAAATAAGGGGGAAAATATAAAAGGAAGAATAAAGAAAACAGAGTACTAGTAGGGCTAGAGAAAGTTGAACAAATAAGGGGTAGGGGGTGGAAATCTTCTAAGGAAAGCCAATACTTTTTTCCTATTTGTTTCTCAGATGATTTCCCCAAACTCCCATCTTTCAGACATTCCTGTTTCCTCACACATTTCTACTAGCACCTCTATAAAAGGAGACCCAAATTTCTAAAAGAATTAGTTTTTTTAAATGTTTATTTTGGGGTGGGGGGACAGAGAGAAAATACGACAGAGGTGAAGAGAGCTAGCTGACAGGAAGGACAGCAGGGAGCCCTGACACGGGGCTTGAACTCATGGACCACAAGATCATGACCTGAGCCGAAGTTGGTCACTTAAATGACTGAGCCACCTAGGCACCCTAAAAACAATTGTTTTAACTATGCGGTCCAAGTGGGGCATTGAGATAAATAGTTGCCTTTATTAAATAGTAGACTGGGGAGTGGGGCTATAAGAAGTTTTTGTGGAAAGGGAGCTAAGTGTTACACCAAAGGCACCATAGAGACTGAAAACAAGCCCAAAACAGGGAGCAAAAATCTGCAACCTAAATAACCAACCAAAGATAAACACTTGTAATATTTTACCTAAGAACCCAGAGACGCTAATGAACATAGGCTCCTGAGCTTCCCTAATCATCATAAAATACAAATTAAATCCACAATGACCTATCATTTCAGGTTTCCATGGTGTAGTGGTTATCACATTCACCTGACACAATGACTGATCACTTCAAAATTACTAGATTTAAGGGGGAAAAATTAGTCTGACCAAGTAAGTGTTGATAAATTTGTAGAGCAACTGAGATACTCATATACTGCTAGTAAAAGTATACCCTGGTACAACCATTTTGAAAATAACCTGGCATTATCTAGCAAAGAAATGCATGTCCTACAACTCAATAATTACTCTGCTAGGTATATAATCCAGAGAAAATTTTCTGCCCATTCACTAGGAGAGCAATATGATAATATTCAAAGAAGGGCTGTCTGTAATAACAAAAATTGTAAAAACAATAACAAATGTCTACCATCTATAAAACGGGTAAACTTTGGTATATTCATATAATGGGACACAATATAACAATGGACATAAACACAAGAATAAGTGCATAAACATAAGAATAAGGTACACACAGGTTATAGAAGACTAAGTAGAATGATTCTATTTACATAAATGTGTAAGAAACAAGCAAAATTAAACAACATACTTGATCACATACATATGTGGTCAAAGTGTAATGAAATAGAAAGAAATAATTAACACAAAATTTAAAACAGCAGATATTTTGAGTGTGACTGGTAGAGCTATAATTGAGGCAAGGCACACATGAGTCACCACACAAGGGACTGTGTGAGACTTTTGGCAGCTACTGCATGAGAAATTACAATGTACATACTCTTTGTGTGGATGATTTGCTCCATAACTTAAACAACTTACTATATTCTTTTATAAATGTGAAAAAAAATAAGCCAGTGCTCATAGAAAACTGACATGTGAGAATGTTGCACTGTGAGACAGTACGATCTAGTGAAAAATAAAATGGGATTCATGAAGTCTACAGTCTCCATTATTAACCTCTTTTGCTCTAGGTTTCTCTGACTACTGTCAGATTATACACCTCTAAAACACCATGCCAGCTTTGGGATTCTAGGATTGATTAAAATATTAAGGTGAAGAATCAATAGTATAAAAGAAAGAAAAAAGACAATACTCAATTTATAATACTTTGTAAATTTTTATAATATCCAAAGCTGATAAAAGTAATAGAGGACAGATATCTAAGGCTAATTTGCCATATAGATTATTTCTAGAATTTTACTTTTTTTCATGTAAAAATCAAGCTTTCAAGCAAGACTTATTTTGCATTGAACACAAATGAAAGCTACTATTAATGAAAAGTTCAGAGATTTCCTTATTGGTTGGATAAGGAACTAAAATGTTCTACAATACAATGCTGATCCAAGTAACTGCATGGCTCACAATACTTTCTTTTGAAATTGAATAAGCAGCCCTTTGCTTTCACATTAGCATAGTATTTGCTTTGGGGGTAAGTAAATGTCACTAAATATACAATAGACCTAGTCTGTACTACAACAAAGTTGTACAACTATCACTTGCTTCCTTAGGGTGCCGCTGGCGTCTTGTGATGTAGTTTGCTACAAGTCATGGACTCTTTTTTGTTTGTTATAGAACTTAAATCACTTCTATTAGCCAAATGATTCCCCTTATAAACTATATGATTTAATTATTTATATTGTGACTACTTATCTGCTGCCTGTAAACTCTATAATGGTAGGGATTTTGGTCAGTTCTATTGACTGACATAGCCTCAATACACAGGACTATGACTGCATATAAAAGGCATTCAAAGCTATTTGTGAGCTTTTTCTCTCTCCAAGCCATCCTGGTGGCTGCTTTTGGTTGGGGCCCTTGCACATCTAAGGCAGGAAGATGGTGGCCACAAAGAAGATGAAAAAGTCTCTGGAGTCAATCAACTCTAGGCTCCAACTCATTATGAAAAGTGGAAAGTATGTGCTGGGGTACAAGCAGATTCCGAAAATGATCAGACATGGCAAAGCAAAACTGGTCATCCTCACCAACAACTGCCCAGCCTTGAGGAAATCGGAAATAAAATACTATGTCACGTTGGCCAAAACTGGTGTCCCTCACTACAGTGGCAATAATATTGAATTGGGCACAGTGAGTGGGAAATACTACAGAGTATGCACACTGGCTATTATTGATCCAGGTCATTCTAATTTTAGAAGCATGTCAGAGAGGCTAGTAAAAAGTAAAACATGCAAAATTTCTCTTTATATATATGTATTTGTGGAGAGGCCCCTGGGTGGCTGTTCATTGAGCATCTGACTTCGGTTCAGGTTATGATCTTTTGGTGGGTTCAAGCCCCACACTTGAGCTCTCTGCTGTCAGTGTAGAGCCTGCTTCAGATCCTCTGCACCAATCCCCCATGCCTCCTCCACTTGCATTCTCTCAAAAATAAACATTAAAAAAAATTTTGTTGATACAATTATTTAATTCTACACTGTGAAGAAGCTAATTATCAAAATCAATACTATATATAGCCAAGGACCATGTTAGTCTTTCTTAAGTAACATTCTCTTAATTATAAGTAGTTGTATATCCACTGATTAAAAACATTTTAAAGAAGAAAGGCCAATTCATTGTGATTTTAGTTCATAATAGTGCTCAAAAGGTACAATGCTTTAGTCTAGTAAGCATAAAATATTGACTGAAACTTAAACAAGTAGTTCTTATAATTATTTCTCTGGTATCTAAAAGATGATTTATTATTTGATAACTGTATTACTCACATTCTTCTATTGGTTTTACATAAATGACCTTAAAGATTAATTCTGCTAAGGGTTAAATAAGATGCCAAAATTATAATTCATTTTAAACCCAAAATACTGAAATTTGATACTCTTCTAAAGCACTGTGATAGTTCTGTACCTGTGGCCTAAATGGGAGAAAAAAGTAAGCTTTATGATCAAGTAGAAGTAAATTCAAATACTGAGTGACTCTAGGCAAGTTGAAATAATAATTCTATTCTCTGATAAATTTCTGAGAAAAAAAGAATCTACCCTTGATTTCTGGCATATCCTTTTATGGCAGGAATTATGAGATTATGTATCAATTATTACTAAACCTTAAATAGCACTCAGGGTTAGTTGACAAGTATTTAAAAACCCACTATAAATAGATGTATTGCTCCTTACAGTCAGAAAACATATCTAGTGAGGTTTTCATATAAAGGATCAGAATATAAATCAAGAAATTATTGATTTAATGTGGTATTTCCTTCGTAATGTATTTGATTCAACAAAATATAAAATCTTCACATCTTCAGAAATGAAATGAGATTATATACAACCTGACGGACAAAGTAAAAATTAAAATTCATGTAAAAATGTGAAAACAAAGTTGGCCTTTAATAACTATTTCATAACTGCAATGGGTAAAACATTCACTGTAAGATTTGAAATTCAAAATTTTACCATTTTCACAAAGACAGAAGTAAGATCCAGTGTCAATCCTGGGAAAGTTCAGGCATGTTATTTATTTCCTCATTTATAAAATGGTAGTAAGTGTCGGGAAAAAAAGACCCTTCTTCCTTTTACTCAGGAGGGGTCTCTGTACACAGGGAAAGCAGGACTTTATCACTAGCCTTACCTTTCCACCAGAGGACGTAAGGAGAGGAAAAGGCTAATTCCATTTTATGAATTCTCCCACAAGGCAGGTGAAGTGGCTAGTCTGACTAGTTTGATTTTGGTAATTATTGAGCCATTTCCAGTCAAATGGAGTAAAAGGGACTTGATTTACCCACACACCATAAATCACACAAAATACACAAAACAACTATTTTCAGACACTGGACAAGAGGCAGTGAAGGACGATGTTCTCTGAGAGGGAAATCAACAGGTGAGCCCTACAACTGCCATCCTTATTGTCTTGAGTAAGTTTCCAAGCTGAAGTGTAGGGAAGGGGAACCAGGCAGCCTAACAGTCTCTCTGAATGGAGGACAAAGGAATTAAGGGGAAGGGAAGTCAAGGTTGCTAGAGTCACAGGGCAAACAGACAGGAACGAGTGGCACACAAAAGGACAGCTCTAGAGAAAAAGAAAAGTAGTACCAGAAAAAAACAAACAACAAAAACTATCAACCTAGAATCCTTAAAAAAAAACCAAGGAGAATGCTTCTTTACACACACACACACACACACACACACGGTGAAAAAGTAATCAACCACAGACCTGCACTACTAAAAATGTTAAATGAAGTTCTCTGTAGAAGGAAAATGATAACATGTGGAAATGTGGATCTACACAAACAACACTGGAAATCATAACTATACAGGTACATATAAAATGATTTTCAAACTACTTTTAAATAGAATTGACTACTTAAAGGAAAAAAAAGTGTGGTTTTAACAATGTAAAAGTAAAATGCTTCATAACAATAGTATAAAGGCCAGAAAAGGGTGAAATGAAATTACACTGTAGGGTTGTATACTATACAAAAAGTGGTATAATGTGCTTAAAGGTAAACTGTAACAAATTAAAGATGATTATCACATACCTTTAAAAAGCAAAATGCCAAAAACAAAAAAAAGAATCAAAATCAAAACCAAAAAAACCCACCACAAAACAAATTATAATTAGTAAGTTAACAAAGGAGAAAGCTGCAATTAGAAAAAAAATATCCAAAAGATGACAAACAAAAAAAAAAAAGAAAAAGGAACAAAGAGTACAAAAAGGGGCAAACAGAAAGTAAATTGTAAAATGGTAGATTTAATCTCATCCATATCAACAATAACCTTAAATGTGAATGGTCTAATTAAAAAGCAGATTGGCAGATTGGACTTAAAAAAGACACAACTATATATTACCTATAAAAAACTCATTTTGAATATAAAGACACAAAGAGACTAAAAGTTAAAGATGAGAAAAAGATACAGCATCCTATCATTAATTAAAAGAACACTAGAGTGGCTATATTAATATCATATGAAATTGATTCCAGGGCAAATGATATTGCAAGTAATAATGATGGCTATTTCATGATGTTAATGAAGCCAATCCACCAAGAAAGCATAACAGCCCTAAACATTTATGCACCTAATAAAATAGCTTCAAAATGTGTAAAGTGAAAACTGATAGAATTGTAAGGAGAAACAAATTCGCAATTATATTTGGAAATTTCAACACCTCCTTTTCAATAATCAATAAAACAAATAACAGATAATCAGTAAGAATATAAAAAACTTGAACTGTATAATCAACTTGACCTCTCATTTACAGAATGCTTCACTCAATAAAAGCAGAATACACATTTTTACTAGGTACCCGAAAACATTTACCAAGATAAATTGACCACATTCTGAGCCATAAAACAAGCCTTGATAAATTTAAAAGGATTTAAATTAAGCAAAGTGTATTTGCTAGCCACAATAGAATTAATTTAGAAACCAGTAAGAGAAAGATATCAAGAAAATCTCTTAATTATTTGGAAATTAAATGAATGGTGTGATTTTAAGCCATTGAACCACCCCTCAAGTGAGGCTACCAAGTGCTATGGACTCAAATGTGTCCCCTTAAAACTTAATGTTGAAGCCCTAACCTCCAATGTTACTGTATTTGGAGACAGGGCTTTTAGGAGGCAATTAAGGTTAAAGGAAGTTATAGGGTAAGGCCCTAATCCAATAGGAATGGTGGCCTTATAAAAAGAAGAGTTCTGTCTTTCTCCAGGCATATGTACCCAGGAAAGACCATGTGGGCACACAATGAGATATAATCTGGCTGCAAGTTAGGAAACCCTTACTAAGAACAAAATCAGCTGGCACCTTGATGTTGGACTTACCAGCCTTCATAACTGAGAAAAAGGATTTCCTGCTGATTAAGCCACCTAGTCTATGCCCTTTTGTTATGGCAGGCCAAGCTGACTAATACACAAAAACTAACAGTCATTTAGCTCCATTTGGCTCCATATTTCCTATTCCTTCCTGAAACTCAGAGGAGGTAGTCTTGTATTTAGCTCTAGATTCATGGATAAGGCAAGCTAGAGCTTGTCCCCTACAGCCTACATGTTCCCAATTAATAAAAGAAGGAGTGAAAACACAAGGCATAAATGGTTTTCCAAAAGCCTTGCACTTGGGGTATTAAAGGCTGCATGCCCAATTTAATAAAGTGATACTTTTATTCTACTATCAATCATGTGTACATACTTCTAGTTGGGACTCGGAGAAAAAGTGGGTAGTACTGTGACTTCCTAACAATTGTAACTCTGTAAGCACCTTACATAATTGCTGTGATCATTACAAGTGAGGCATGTCAAACACTGAATCATGAGATTGCTCTTACTCAAAAGGAGGGAAATACCCCTTTTGTTCTATGGCATGACCACTTAATGAAGTCAAGGTGGTGACAAGAAGAGAAAATTAAGACAGAAAACAGCAAGGAATAAAGGGAAAATGAAAATAAAAATAAAGATAAATCCATTTAGAATTCACTAAGTACATTATATCCTACTCCCTCCTACCAACCATGTCCCTCCAATGCCAAATTTGCTCTTCCCTCTTGAGTTTTCTATATAGTCTTACATTATACATGCTCTACTGCCGAAGCCAAAAACTTTGTAATTCAGCCCTATAAATTGTACTTCTTAAATAACCCTAACCACTTTCTTCCTCACTTTATGACCTCTGCCAAAACTACTAAGGCCATGATCTCTCTTTTAAGATTTTTTTAATAGTTTCTTTATTTTTGAGACAGAGACAGAGCATGAGTGGGGGAGGGCAGAGAGAGAGGGAGACACAGAATCAGAAACAAGCTCTAGGCTCTGAGCTGCCAGCACAGAACCTGACACGGGGCTCGAAGCCATGAACTGTGAGATCATGACCTGAGATGAAGTTGCATGCTTAACCAACTGAGCCACCTAAGCACCCTAACGGCCATGATCTCCTACAATGATAATTACAGTAGCCCTGTGATTACTCTTGTATAACTAGTGTCTTACCCTTCCCATCTAGCCCCATCCCCCTTGTTAGAATTCATTCTAAAATATAAATGTGATCATGTTGGCTTAAGTCTCCATAATGGTTCCATTACTTACAATTTAAAGCCCAAATTCTTCTTAAGAGTCAGATTTTTTTAAAAAATCACATAACAGAGGTACAGGTGAAACCTTCTTACTTCCTCAGGCAGACATTTCTTATTATTGGTATTAAAGTTACTAGCCAGTGAGCTTCCTGAAGACAGAGCTTAGCTCATTCATTC